TTGATTTTAATGATGATTATGTTAAACACTATGACCATTCACTTATTTTTTCTTCTTTTTTCCCCCATTGATTTTAATGATGATTATGTTAAACACTATGACCATTCACTTATTTTTTCTTCTTTTTTCCCCCCCCCAACTTAGGAAACTGAAAGGCCATGTGAAATTTCAGAAATCTATGACAATCCCAAGACATCTGAGGTAAGAACTCTTGATCATAATCTCTATATATCATTTCCAAAGTAAACAAGCTAAGCTATTTATGCACAAGAGAAGTACAATGTGAACAAATGTAGAAAGGAGAGGACTAAGTGAAGCTCAAGCATGAAGGACATTCTCAGTGTATTTTTATCAGCCAGACAGGAATTCAAGGTTGATTTAATATTAGAAAATAATTAAATATAATTTATTTCACTGACAAAAGAGAAAAATTATGTAACCATAGCAATAAGAGAAAAAAATACACAAAAATTCAACCGTCATTTGTTATATGAATTCTTAGCAAACTAAATATAGAACAGAAACTTCCTTAACTTGAAAGAAAGTATCTTTTTTATAAATTACAGCAAACCTCATATCTAAGGGTAAAATGTTTAATGCATTCTTTTTAAGATCAGAAATAAAACAAGGATGTCCACTAACACCACTCTTATTTAATACTGTCCTAGTCAATGCAGTAGAATAAGACAAAGATGGTGGACTGACAGGTACAAAATTATGGTATCTTCCCTAAATAAATCATTCTACGTATATTCATATGTTGAAACACATACCCCACAAATATGTACAAGTTAGTGTTAAAGTTAAAAAAATAAAGAAATTCATTAACATATGCTCTAAAAAAAGTGTAAAACTGAAAAAGGAAGACACAAAATTGTCATTATTTGCAGATGATATGGCTGTCTACATAGAAAAGCCAAATAATCTACAGATAAATTATTAGAATTAACAAGATACTTTAGCAAGTTAATTAGATGCAAAAATAAATATAGAAAAGTAATTTGCATTTTTCAACATTAACAACAAAAGTAATTTGAAAAATATTATTTTACAGTGGTATTAAAAATATATAGAATATTGAGGAATAAATCTAACAAAAATATGTAATCCCTTTATGGAAAATAATAAAACTTGAGTAAAAAACATTAAATAATACCTAAATAATGGAGGTTATATATCATGCTCCCGAATAGGAAGACACAATAGTGTAGAGATGTCAAACAACCACAGATTGATCTACATAATAAGTGTAATTCTAATATAAATTCCAATAGACTTTTTCATGGAACTTAATAAGATGCTTCTAAAATCTGCATGGAATAAGCCCAACCATATCAATAAATCGCATTAAATGTAAATGGTCTAAATATCCCCCAATTAAAAAACAGATATTCATATTGGCTGTAAAAGCAAGATCCAACTATGTGAAGCCTACAAAAACCCACTTTAAGTGTAAAGACATAAATAGATTAAAAGTCAAAGGATGAAAAAAGAGATACCATGCTAATGATAAACAAAAGAGAGTTGACTAGCCTGAAAACTGTCCCAAGGCAGTAAGCCAGGCAATTGTAGACCTCTCCTCATTTGTGTTCTGTCTCTCAAGGATCACTGTTCTTTCTTTCTTGATGTCCAGTGTCTTGAAAACTGTTGTTTCAAATGTTTTGTCTGATCTTTGTTGTTTTAGGAGGGAGGGTAATTCTGGTTGCTGTTATGCCATCTTGGCCAGAAAAAGAAGTCTTGACTGTATTTTTTTAAAACTCCTGTTTGTTTCCTCAAGAATCCCAGGAGATCACCCACACGTGATAACATGATGGGAGCACAAGAAGCCCACATCTACGTGAAGACAGTAGCAGGAAGTGAGGAACCCATGCGTGACACTTACCGTCCTGCTGTAGAAATGGAGAGAAGGAGGGGATTGTGGTGGCTTGTGCCCAGACTGAGCCTGGAATGATGCAGCTCAGTCAAGGAGCAGACCTGGAGCTGGAACAGGACTGAAAACCCAAGGATTTGTGCTGGGAGAGAAGAGATGCCAAGCTGCTTCTTAACCAAACCAAATTTCAATTACAAATGTGGAAAAATTTTGCATTTGTTTGTTTCTTTAGGGGACAGCTCCAATAAGGTTCATTCCAATTCTCAAATCTTGTAGTTTAATATGCAGTGAAGCACCAGGTGCATCCAGATAGAGCCCTTTGGTCCTGTTCCTGACCCTAGTGGGAATTATCTTTTCTTTGTGATTTTGGGAAAGGGAATTGTTTTCTCATTGTCTTGTCTTCTCATCTTTTCTTCATATCCCTCTTCTCAAAAAAGTCATCCGACCTGGCTTCTATGGGAAGGTGAGCCAAAGCCAGCCTGGTACAAGTTGGGACATAATGAAATTTACAGGGGCAGTGTGAGGGGAAGCAGTTCTTTATTTCTGAATATTGCAGAGTAGAAATCATGTGGAGCCACACAATCCCTGACCTCAGGGCAGCACATGGCTGGATCATGTCATACAGCAGTGGAAAGAACATGGACATACCTGTCACTGAGCAGCTGTATGGTTTTGGAGAATTAGTTTAATTTCTCCAAACCTCAGTTTTTGCTTCTGTAAAAGAGGCCATAACATTATTTGCCTTATGTGAAAAGATTAAATAAGAATAAAAGGGACGTGTTTGCCACTTAGTAGACACTAAAATTGTTAGTTCTCTCTCCCTACAACCTACCTCCTCCCTCTTCCCATATAGCTTGTCTGATAGTCATATGGCTGATCACCAGCTTTTGTTACCCATAGTCATAAGGTCACTGAGGGAACATGTATGGCAAACTTTCTACATGGCCTGTAATCCAAAGTGCTGATATCTAAAGATGATTCTAGGTGTCGCTAGTAATCCGTGAAACTTCAAATCTAGATGTGACCCTGTCTTTATATGTTAACCAGGAAAAACCAGGTTCTTACAAGTTCTGAATTCCAAGTAGATAGACTTGTGATATTACTTTTAACCTTCAAGATGTCGAAGTTGATGTAGATTCATGTTTCATAATAAAATGACATTTTTTTCCCTTACAATGAAGCATTTTGCCTAATTTTTAAAGTAAGACATTATGACACCTCTGATGGCAGTTCCTCAATATCTTTGTAACCTTTGTGCGTTGGTGGTAGTTGCTAAAGATAAGGTTTCTTTTATTTTTTTAAAAAAAGCCTTCAGAGTGAACAAGAGCCCTTGAGCCCATGCACAGCATCGCCACTTCAGCTTGCTGAGGACTCTCCCCAAGGAGCCTGAATGGAAAACGAGATGCCACCTGGAGTGGTGTTGGGCCCATTGAGCATACTGGGAGGTTAGTCACCAGTCTGCCCTATTTAGTGTGAATTACTCCATGATAGACCACCCTCTGGCTTTCTCTTATCCCAGTTTCTCTCGTCTTCCCAGTTTTCCAACCTCCTTGCCCCCTCCTCCCTTTCTGCTGTGCCCTCCTTTTGTTCTCAATACTAATTTCATTTTCTCTGTGACTTCCCAGCATGTGTCAGATACCACCCACCTGGCCTAGGGGACACATCATTCACAGCTCCCACTTGTGTCTGTGATTAGAGCGTTTGAGGAGGGCAGTTCTGCAATGGGCTGAGTGTCTGTGTGTGTGTGCATGTGCATGTATGTGTGTGTGCATGTGTGTGTATGTGCATGTGTGTGTGTGCATGTGTGTGTGTGCTGAGGATAAAGAGGGGGGAAGGGAGGCAAGAGTTGTTCTAAGAGTTTATTAGAAATGAGGGCTCTGTTGATTCTGTGGGAATGGTGAAAAGACCCAAGTCCTTGGATTGTCATGGGGAAAAGCTGTTTGGCAGGAAGAGAGATCAAGAGGACCCAAGCGTGGGGCCAGCCCGGTGG